TATAAATTTAATATTTAAAAAGGTGGTGCACTTTAACTAAGGGCTTGTCTATACTTATGCGCTGGTTTGACGGCAGGTGAGAGCACTTCTGGGTTCGATTTATCGCATCCAGACAAGACGCAATAAATCGAACCCAGAAGTTCGATTGCCTGCCGTCAAACCAGCGCATAAGTATAGACAAGCCCTTAGTTAAAGTGCACCACCTTTTTAAACATTAAATTTATAAAAACAAATCTGTACTGTTAAGTTAAATAAATAGTGAAAATTGTTCTAGGCTTAGCTCGAATGGCTATTAAAATGCACAATCATTAACATACACTGAATGCTACCTTGTGATGCTCTTCTCTTTGTGCATCTGGTACATCACTGGCCGGCACAACTTCAGGACTTCTGTAGCCATTTTGAAGTCGCATGTGATCATCGCTCTCTCTCAGAGCATCTCCTCTGTCATAAGGTCCTCCACTGAGGGGACCAACATTCCCTCTGTAATTGGCATCTGAATCACCTGCACTATAATTTATTTGTTGCCAGTGCTGTCTGTCACTTGGAAGAAATGAAGGAGATGGTTCCTGCTCAGGACTTTTAAAATCTCTTAATGTAGCAACCGATTTTCCTGCATCATAGCACAAACCCTAAAGAAAAGACACTGTCTCCTTAAGTATTAAGCGTTCACTTTTGCAGCTTGTAGTTCTTCTCTCTCTCTCTCTCGCTACAGAGATACATTTACATCTCTGCATTTCCACACAATAGTGTGTAAAGGGGAAATTTCAGTATATGATTTACCATTTTCTCAAGAGCATTCCTACTTCAGAAAATTACTCAAGTTGACAAAGTGGTTTTTAAAAAGTACACAATTTCATTACTTTGGAACAGAGTTTAGGAACAAACTTAAATTAATGTGTCTGAACAAATTTACCTATTTTTGTTACAACCCTTAAGATTACTGTAACAAAGATTATTGAAAAAAATATTTTCAGGTTTTTACTGTCCCATTTTTTTCAGTCAATGGGATTTCACAGTGTCCTGCTCTCCACTAGTCAGTTAGTATGGGTATGAGCTGGTCAGAGGATAGGTATGCTTTTTGGTGCAAGCCTCCACAACACTCCCTGCTAATTCTAGCTCAGTCCTCTCAAGTACAAAGTGCCACTTTCTGCAGAGGTTCTGTTATGTGGTCCAACCAGAGCTGGTGTGAAACTAAATCCATTTTCATTGTATTTTTAGTTATTTTCCTGAAGATTGATTTGCAATTACATTGACTCTCTAGTAAAACATGTTGATTTACAACTAAATATAGCCTTTTGCAAGACAAGGCGTTAGTGTATCTATACACACAGTTAAGAACTCTATAGTTGAAAGAAGAAATTACCTTGTGCAGTAACGATGGCTCTTCAAGACGTGTCCCCCGGTGGGTGCTCCATTCTAGGTGTTGGTGGTTCCCTGCGCCGGAGATTTCTCGCAGCAGTACTCGGTCAGGGGAAGGGCGCACA